GGCTCCACCAGCCTCTCTTTGACCACGTGTGCTCCTTGTGAGTCCAGGGATCCTAACTTTGCCTTCCCGGAGTGTGCAGGTCCACCAAGACACCCTGGGACTCCTGTCTGGCTCTCACAGCCCGGGCCACGAGACAAGGAAGAGGAGACCTTTGGTCCTCGGCCAGACGTATCTGCCGAGAGTTCTACCACTCAAGCATCCTCATGGGGCAAAGGCTGGGTTAAATTATATCTGTTCCAGACAGACCTGACCCTAAACATACTGCAAAGGAAAAACGGTGGGTCAAGTGGCCAAATACGTTTTGAAAAGCATAGTAAAGGCTCTCATGCAGCCACTATGGAAAACAGGATGGAGATGTCTTTAAAAATTAAGAAGAGAACTATTATATGACCCAGCAATTCCACTTCTGGGTGTTTATTTGAAGCAAACAAAAACACTAATTTGAAAAGATATATGCACCCCTAATTCACTGCAGCATTATTTACAATAACCAAGATTATTTACAACACCCAGGCAACCTGGGTGTCCACTGATAAATGGATAAAGAAGCTGTGGTACGGATATACAATAAAATATTCACCATAAAAAGGAATGAACCTTGCCATTTGCAACAACACAGATGGTCTTTGAGAGCATTTTGCTAAGTGAGATAAGTCAGACACAGCCAGGCAAATACCGTATGATCTCACTGATACATGGAATCTAAAAAATCAAAACTAATGAACAAACAAACAATAAAGGCTCTGAGGACACCTGAAGGCAAGGACCCTTTTCAGCTTGTTTAACCCACAGCTACGTAGCACGGCCATCAAGGTCTCCTGTTCCACACAAGAAAGCCCCGACTAAATGCCCGTCACGAGAACTCAGAGGGGAGACAGGCCGCAGAGGCAGTCGATCCAACTGGACCTGCGGAGGGGGCGGAAGTGGCCCCAGCAAACCCCTCAGGCTCCGAGTGCTGCCCTCAGCCAGACACGGGACACGTCCCCACCCAAGCACAGGTGAAATGGGAGCCCAGCTCCTCTGCCCAAGACCCCACGTCCCCCCCTGAAGCCTCTTTTTCTGCTCCTTTGTCCACAGGCCATGGTGGGGCCTGTGGTGGGGCCGACCGATAGAAGTGGCACAGGCATTTGTCAGGCAACAAAATGCCACCTTGGTTACATTATAAGTCACAGGGACAGCAATTGGCATGGTGCCACAGATGGCAAGAGGCTCCTTCGTGTCTTTTGACCCAGGGCATCAGATTTTAATCAAGAAATTATGAATCTTCTGTGTAGTAGCAGGTGTGGTTTTGAGCAGTGAGTTAAGCGCGCCAGACCCCACCTGGAAAACAGGGCCAGCGAAGGTGCCGGCACCGAGGGACTGAGGGGCCCGCCCTGCCCTTGTGCTTTCTGTCCTTTTCTACCAATACTGACCGCCTGCCAGGGCCCTCAGTTCACTCAGGCTTAAAGCCCAGACCCTCGTGGTGGTCCCCAGGCTTTGCACAATCAGCTCCATCACCTGCTTGTACTCAGCGTTTCCCCACTAGCCACATAGGCCTCTTTATGGTACTTGTTCAGGTCACATCACAAATCACCCCTCATGGCTCAGACGCGGGGCCTTGGCGCTGCCTGTCCCTCTTGCCTCACTTCCTTCGGGTGCTGCATAAATACCACCCCTCCTCCAAGAGACCTTCCCTGAACTCTTTCTCTCCTTGACCCAGCTTTATTGTTCTTCATCCCCGAAAATGGGACAGATGTGTCAATGTGTTGGCATACGGCCTTTAACCTGTCGGCATACGTTATGACATATCTTATGATGGAGAGTAAGCGCTGTGAAAGTGGACACCCTTTCTTGTTTCTGTCCGACACCAGCCAGCTACATAGTATATGCCCAATAAGTATCTGTGGTGCACAGAGGCCACCCAACACAGGGTACTTGCAGAGGTATGCGGCTGCGGGGTTGGGTGGAGGCACCTCTGCGGGTCCAGGGAACCTGGAAGCCGGGAGAGGATGAGGGGCGGGGGGGCTTCCTCAGGACGGAGGAGGAAGGGTGGACCTAGAGGCTTCCTCCACTAGCAGCGGTGGGAGAGGAGAGGACCAACCGGAAGGAGCCTGTGCACAGGCTGTTTTCTCTGCCAGGGGCAGTGCCCGCAGCCTGCTCCTGCCAGACAGATGCTCCAGGGCCCCTCGGTCGTCCCCTCCTCCCAGAAGTGCTCCTCCCGGGGCTGAGCCAGGCACCTCCTCCGCTCCCCCAGGACCGTCCTCACACATGGCAGCCCTGATGGCTCCTAAGAGCCCTGTCCGTCTGCTCCTCTGTCCCTGACCAGGCCAAGCTCCCAAGGCAGAGCCTGCAGCTGCCTTGTTTTCTACTGTAGCCCCTGCTTCCTCCCAGTAAATGTTTGTCTCCCAGGTAACAACAGCCTCTGTGCCGGGGACTTTACTGCGCCTCTACGAGCATTACCCACTCCATCCAGTCCTCGCCTTAAATCTATTCACTCGACATTGCTATTCCCATCCCGCAGCTAAAGAAACAGACTCGCAGGGGCCAGTATCGGGTTCAGAACCATGCAGCCCGCAATGGCGGTTGGGACCTGAACCCGGGCTCTTCTCACCCGCAGCTGACAGGAACTGCTCTCGGACGAGTGGTTCGGTGGGAGGGCAGGACCCCGGGCTCCGAGCTGAGTGCTCAGGGACTCCCGCGTCCCCACAGACCTCGGGCCGACCCAGGGGCGGCTGCGCCTTGAGCCCCATTTGATTCCTGAGGGGTCAGGGGCACGTCCTCACACCCAGCAGAACCTCTAAGTGTCTGTTAAGCGACTGAACAACACCTGTTTTTGAGAGCAGTTCCCCTCACCCCAACCTCTGCTGCCTGGATTTTGAGCTCTGCGTGACCTCCTCAAGGAGCTTTCCCTCTCTGAGTGTCAAGCTCTGCAAGGGGGAGATGAGAAAAGGCTTTGTGGACGGGAAAAGTGAGATGAGTCAGGAGAACAGAGACCGGCAGAGCTGTGGGGACAGCATGGTGCTGTCCTGGGCCCTGTGGAGCATTAAGCAGTGTTCCTGGCCTATGTGTACTACATGCCAGTAACCACGGCAACCTCACCCGGGTGGGGATGAAAAATGTCTCCAGACATTATAGAATGTCCCCAGGGGAGGGAGGAAGCAAGATGGGCTCGGGTTGAGAACCACGGCCTTAATCCTATGCTGTGGGTGGGGCAGGGAGTGGCCAGCACGTTGCAGCCCCAGGAAAGTCCAGGAGCTGTGAAGTCCAGAGCCTGAGACCACCCAGAGCTAGTAATGCCCACTAAAATGACAGCTGGCACTGGACCAGCACCAGTTTGAACTGTGTGGGTCCACTTACACCCAGATTTTCTTCAATAGCAATACAGCAGGCCCTCCGTATCTCCAGGTTTTGCATCCAAGGATTCAACCAACCGCAATGGCAAGCGGTCATTTTGATTCACGGTTGGGAATCTGCAGATGTGTAGGGCTGACTGTATGCACTGTCCTGAGCCATCTTACATAAGGGACTTGAGCCTCCCCAAGGGTCCTGGAACCAATCCCTGGTGAATGCGGAGGGATGACTGAGGAGTCAAAAGTTGTACATGAATTTTTGACTGTGCAGAGGATCAACACCCTTAACCCCCACGTTGTTCAAGGGTCGACTAGAGCAATATTTCTATATAGCACCTACTATGTGCCAAAGCACCCTAGATGTATTCACTCACCTAATCCTTGCAAGAACCCTGTGAGTGAAGGATTTGTGAATTTGGGACCGGACACATACAGAGGTGGAGTGACTTGCCCAAGGTCACACAGCACACACAGTAGGTGACAGAGCCAGGACTCAAATCTAGGCATCCTAGCTCCAGAGTGCCCACTTAACACCAGCCTGGCTGCCTGCCTGTCCAGTGTGCCTGCCGAGGCTGCAGGCATGAGTCTGCAGGTGGGGAGAGAAGGGAAAAGAAGCCCTGCGCTGGCAGGAAAAGAGCTTTGGCAGGCACCCCTGGAGTCCCTGATCCTAATCTCTCGGCAAAGCTTTATTAAGCCCCTACTGTGTGCCTGCTTCCCTGGCTGAAACAAGAACAGCGAAGATCGCCTTGAGTTGCTCACTACATGAACCCTGTTCCTTCCTGCCAAGACCCTTCCTTTCCCAAACTCTCATCCGAGGGTCAGGAGCCAAGCACCTACTCGGTGCCAACACTTAACATCTGCATGTAACAGATGTGCAAACTGAGGCTCAGAACGGCCAAGCAACTTGCCTAGGACACACAGTGACCAAGCAGGATTCAAGCAGTTTGCTCCTTCTAGGACCCGTCTCTCTGGGTCCCGCTTTAACCTAAGCTGCCCCACAGTGGCCGGAAGGATGAGACTCATCAGCGTTTTGTTGTTCACAGCCCTGTTGAGCCACCCTCGTATTCATGGGGCCTGGGGCCAGACCTTTCTCTGGAGGTTTCTCTGCTTCCTGGAACCAAGGTTGCTGCCCTGACGGACCCAGCAGGAGGCCAGGGACTGAACAGGCATCTCTGTGACCCCAGGATGCTGTCGCGTGGCTGAGCCTCTGGAAGGGGAGCTGGTTTCCTCAGGGAGGCCACAAACCATGTCTGCTCTCTTCTCCAGTCCAACACGTCCATCCCAATCTGACAGCCGTCCTGGTTCTTACAGGTGGCCTCCTGACTCTGTCCCTCTCCACCAGACCCAGGGCACCCCCACAGACGGTAGCCGGTTGCTGCTCCATCTGGGACGGAGCAATGTCTCTGGTCCCCAGTGTTGATGGACAGTGGGTTCTAGATGAAGAATTGGGGCCCAAGAAACCAACTTGGGTTTCTCTACAGCCTAAGCCCCCAGCTTGAGGCTGCTGCTGGCTAATCACCCCAACATGCCCAGGCAAGGCGTAAAGAGGTCCACCTCACCAGGGTCTCTCACTGAAGGGGAATTTTATTCTCCCTCTGCCAGCTACCCCAGAGCCCCCTGGGGTGGCCGTGCTGGCCCAGCAGAGGCACAGGCTGAAGGGTGGCCACTCACCTGGACTCGCAGAAGCAGCAGCACAGACCCGAGCAGGGCAGGGATCTGAGCCGGAAGGCCTCGAGCTCCCTTCACAGCGGGTTTCTCTGAAACTCAGCCTATTTCCTTGATGCAAAGACAGGAAAGGGGGCTGTGTTTGAAGCTTACGTGTAAGTCACAAAATGCTGTGTGCAAGGAAAATTGTAGGCCACGTGCTCCTGGGAGGGCAGAGGGCATTTCCGGGGCCACCGGGGCCTACCCCAGCGGTGGCGGGGCTGGAGGGCGGGGGACTGAGGCTAGCTACTGGCAGGGGTTATTCAAAAATGATGATTCCAACAGCACCCCAAACCTGGAAAGGGGTAGGAGGGGAACTGTAGTGCCGAATTGTGGGTGCGACAGTGGCGGTGGGTGGGGGATCCCCAGGACTCACTGGAAACTAGAATGCCCCACTTTCCCTCCCAGGGGGCACGGACCCAGGCCTGCTCCTGGCTGAACTGCCCGTAAGACTGACTCGTTTACTCCACAGGCAGGTTGAAGAGAGAGAGGAGAAACCTACTAAGCAGGTCCGGATCTCAAAGGTTCCAAGCACAGCATGTGTGGCAGGTGTCGCACCGCTTCAGGACAGCAGCGACAGCTCTGTCTCTGCTCTCAAGGGGCTCACAGGCTGGAAGGGGACACGAAACTGGGACGGCAGAGCCTGGGCACCGTGTGATCCCAGAGGAGCCTCCCGCTGCCTGGGGAGTGTCAGGGAAGGGCTCCGAAAGGGATCCGTCACGTCGGTCATATCGAGACGCTGAGACAAGGTGCCCCCAGTGCCCCCCCCCCGTCCCAGTGCAGCCCCATCTCAGACCTTCGCCTCACACTGCACACACCGAACACCAGCTCCTATTCTGGCCACCACCACTTCCTACCTCCCCTCACATTTGCGCACTCCCACGATGGACGGCCCACACTCTGCCCGGGTGGCCACACCTCACATCTGCTCCCTCCGCAGCCTGCAGAGCCCCTCTGCAGCACAGCCGGCTCCTGGGCTCGGCTTCCCCTGATCTCTCCCTGCAGTGCCCCAAGGCCTTTGGTGCTCTCTCAGCGCTGCTTTGCCCCCTCAGACTCACGGGGGCTGCCCTAGGCCCACTGTTGAGACCCCAACAGTCTTCTCTGGGTCCCTCATGCTGAGTAGATGGGGTTAGCTCCCAGACCCCTGGCATTCCGTCCATGCAGCGCCCCAGGTCTCCTGTCCTGTGGATCTGCTCCCTCATCCCTGCTCTCCCCCAGCTCACCGAACCTCCCTCTCTGCTTTCAGGAAATCTTTTCTCTGGGCTCCAGGCTGGAACACTTTTCTCTTACGTAGATTTCCAAATAAATCCACAAAACTGTTGTGTTAAAGGTCTTCTCTTTCCCCACAGGTACCATGAAACTCCCAGTGCAGAAAAAAACTCTGTTTCCATATTGGACCCTCCTTTCCAGGGTAATGAGAGAACGCCCAGCAGGCTGCCAGGCCAGAAATCACAGCATCAGAAACATCTCGTCCTCGACGGTAGTAACAGTGGTGCTTACTGAGCACTTATGGCAAGCCAGACAATTTTGTAAGAAGTTTGCAATTTAATCCATTTCCCAGGTAAGGTAAGTGAAACCCAGAGAGGTGAATTAACAGACGTCAAGTGGCCACAGCCCACCTCGGGTGGATGGAGGAGGAAACCTTCGCTGCAAAACAGCTCTCTATGAATGGGATTCCCAGAGACCTGGAAGGGGACCAGACTATGTGAGGTGGGACACCTGAGAGGCAGCAGGTTTAGGGCTTCCAGTCTGAGGGCCTCGGGCCTGAGAAGGGCTTGCAGCCTCTGGGAGGCACCGGCTCAGCAGCCTTCTAGCCCTTCCAGTCACAGACACCGCCTCCTAAAACTACACAGCCCCAGACAGTTCTGAGATGGGCCTGCAGATAAGGCCGCTTGCTTTGCCACAGCCGAGAAAATAGGTTGATACATCTTTTGAAAGTTCAGGGTAAAGAGCAAATGGATGGAAATGTGGGCTGGGAAAGTTGTGGTGCATTTGCCAAGGGTGGGTCTGAGTAAATATTCACTCCAGGCGGGCAAAGAGACTTGGAAGAAACTGGTCTCTCACTTTTACATCCCCAGGCCTCTGCCCACGCTATCGCAGCCTGAACTCTCTTCCCCAACCTCTTCTACCACCTGACTCCTTCTACTCCAGGTCTTTGATTAAATGTGGCTTCCTCCAGGAAGCCTTCCAAGCCTCAGTCGGGGCAGGGTTGGGGTTTGTGTCAGTTTCACCTACATTTGTGCCAGCCATATTTGGTTACAGATCTGAAAGGACACCGGGCCACTGCCATGGAAACCTGCAGCAGCTGGGCTGTGGCAAGAGGGCTCACACCCCAGCCCAGTAACTCTACAAGGACCCCACCTCAATGCCTTCCCACCTGGGTGTCTTCAGCCATGCAGCTTACCTGCCTTTCCTCTGGGTGTCAGACAGTGGTAATTTTTCTCTTGTGTTTTTCGGGTGCTGCCACTTATAGCTCAGGGACATTGAGAAAGTCACTTGACCTCTCTGTGTCTTGGTGGCCTCACTTAGGAAATGGCATCTACCTCTTAGGGACATTGTGAACAAGAAAACAGACCTTAAAACAAATAGCCCACTATTGCCACCATTGCTGCTGCCACCGCCACCACCACCACCACCACCACCACCATCTCTGGATTCCCCACCTGTCACAGCTGCTGGTGACTGCACTCCACGGTGACAACCTGCCTCCCTAGTGCCCTCCAGGGGCAGCTCTAAAGCTCGGCATCTGTCCAAGCTTAATTCGGGAGCTTAAAGGTTGAAAGGACACCTCCCCTCCCTGCTAATTTTTAAATCCATCTCAGTTTAAGTCAGAAGAGAATCCATTGTCCACAGCAGCCACATGCTGTGCCCTTCCCTGGGGGTCAGCAAATGCTGGCTCCTTAAATGCTCAAACCGCAATGACAGTGCCACCTCTTCAGACAGCCCCTGGGGCCCCCTACTTACTCAGTACTGAGCCCCTCCACTATGACAGACCCTGTTCCAAGCAGTAGAGATCTGCTGTGAGCAACACAGACAAAAATCCTTTCCCTTGTGGGGGGTGACTTTCTGGTGAGGGAGACAGAGATGTAACAAAATACACAAGTATTCTGTAGAGTCTATCTGGTGTTTTCAAGTGCTAAGGAGTAAAATAAATCAGGAAATGGGAGAGGAGCTCTGTGGGCATGTGAGCTGGAGCAGAGGGGTCAGAGCAAGGCCTCACTGAGGGGATAACCTGTGAATAAAGACCTGAAGGAGGCACAGGAAGGAGCAATGGAGACACCGGGAGAAAAGCGTTCCAACCAGAGGGAGCAGCAAGTGCAAAGGCCCTGGGGCAGGACCGTGACCTCTGTGAGGTGGGGAGTGTCTAGCTGCATCCCCAGCAACTGGAGTGCTGCTTGGTATACAATAGTGCTCAATAAATATGGCAGAATGGAGGAAAAGCCCAGAGGCAGGCTTTATTCTCAAACAGCTTTTCTCCTTGCCATCCAAGATAGTGAGTGACTCAGCTTTAAATCCCACTTAGGAGCAAGAACCTCTCTAAGCATTCCCAACAAGAGCCCCAAACAACTCCTCGGCTGAACGGACACAGGCCCATTCCCCAGCCAGTCCCTGAAGCCAGTGGATGATGGGGTGGGAAAGTGGCTTAGGACCAGGTGACTTGTCCCACCACACCACACTGAGAACCCCAGAGAAGTCAGAGACTGTGGCTAAAAGGAGGAGTAAAGAATGCTGGGCAGGCGAAGAGCCAAAGTTTGACAGGATTATCCTAACAGCTAAGATTCATTGTTCCATTGGCAGGAAGCACCACTACTCATGTCCTGAGAGCTAAGGCGTACTTAGTGCTCACTAGAGTCCTACAGAGGAGGCTAGTCCCATTTCTACGGAGATAGAAATTGAGGCTTGAGGTTTCACAGCTAGTAAGTTGCAGAGATTGGGATCTCCTGGCTCAAGGAAACCCAGGCCTGGACCCTGCAGTCCCTTGCATCAGGCCAGGACAGGCCACTGGACCAATCACTGAACTGAAGGTAGAAACCCTTAGTTGAGAGCAAACTGAGAAAACAAAGGGGCTGCTTCTTTTATAGAGAAAGGGGGAAATGGAGTCAGCCCAGAGCAGGCTACCATGGGCCTGCAGGTGACGAGAGACTGCTGGCAGAGGCCAGAGGTGGCGGACCCCAGCTGGTTCCTCAGATGGAAGCCTGAGGTAGAGCTGTGGGGCCAAGCAGAGGGTACACTGACCCTCAGGTCTGGGGTCCCAAGATGTCGGGATGAGGAGGGGGTAAGGGTGGGAGTACAAACTGTCGGGGGCTCGTGGAAAACTCTGGTACTTATGGCGTGCCTGCTGTACACCCAAGCCCTGGCAGACACATTTCACCCCAAGCTCAGGAGGACGCCAGCGAGGCCGCCCTGCCCACTCCCTCTCCGTGGTGTGCAGCACCCAGGACAGGGCCGGGCACACAGCGAGTGCTCAGCCAGTGTCTGCTGCTGAAGGAGCCGCCCGATGGCCCTGACGGGAGGTCAGTCCCTAACCCCACTGCCAAGACAAGGAAACTGAGGCCCGGAGAAACTGAGGGCCCAGCTTCCCAGGGGCCATGCCTGGGAAACGCCTGAAGTTGTGAGGTCTGGGTCAGTCCGCTGTCAGGTGGAAACGGCCATGCTGCAGTCACCACCTCTCCCGCTTGGAGCACCTGCCCTGGACAGGAACCCAGACCTGTGGGCAGCTACTCCCTCGGAGCATGCGCTCGCTCTTTCCCTCTCTGGCCTCAGATTCCTCATCAACGAAGGGGTTAGATCACAGAGGCCAAGGGCAGGCCCATGTGGGTCGACATCCAGCAGAACGCTCTGGGAGGCCAGGCAGGTCGGGCTGGACTGGCTGCCCAGGGAGGTGCCCGATAAACGCTTGCTTGGCTGGGGACCGGTGCTCCGCAAACAACAGCTGTTCCGATGCTGAGCAGGGGGAGCGCTCTCCTCTCCCTGCCCCTCCGGCCTTCACCCGGTGCCTCCCCGGTTCTTCCCGCCCCTCCTACGATTTCCTCCCACCACTGCTCCCGCCCCATCTCCCTCCAATTCTGCCCCCACCACGCCATTCCCTCCTTCCCCAATTTCTTCTCACCCCGTCGTTCTCTCTACTCTCCCTCCCTTGCCCGCATCTTCCTTCTTCCTCTCCACTCTCCTACTTCATTCTTCCCCGGCCCTGCTCCTCTCCAACACCATTATCCCAGCGCCCTTCCTTTCCTGTCTTCACCCCCCACCTTACTACACCCCTGTGCCTCCCCACCCGATCCTGTGCCCCATTCCCACCCGACTCTCCCTCTCTCCACCCCCCAGCCCTTGAGCCCCTCAAGTGTGTCTTGGGCCAGTTCCCACCCCCTTGATCCGGACCATTTGCTTAGGCCACACCCCTTCCTTACACACTACCTCCCTCCTCTGACCTCTGGTCTCCCCAGCCCTTGCCCCTCTGGACCCCTGCCTGGGACTACAGGAGTGTATGCCTCCCCTGGGGTCAAGGCAGAGTACGGGTGGGGGGCAACCGCCCCACATGGGTGGCAGGGAAGGTCCTCCCCAGCTGCTGCCATGACAGCCCTCAGGACCCTCTCCCAACCCCTCTGCTGACCCTGCTGCCCTCCCGTGTTCTAGGGGCAAGTGCTGCCTGAGCACAACAATGCTCCTGTCCCCTGCAGCACCCGACACCAACAGCAGGGCCTCAACCCTGGAACGCAGACACCCGACTGGCCCCACAAGAGCTTCAGGCAGCCCACTGCCATCTCAGAAACCTGCCGGGGCCATGCCTGACTCCAGCGCCTTTGGTTGCCTCGTGTATTTTGATATTGTCTAGGTATTCAGTGTTCAGCTAATACCTGTCTGGTGAATGACTGACTGAATCAATGAATCAATGCTTTAATAAAGAAACGCAGTATTTTTCAGGTCTGTCTTCACAGACCTGAAATGGCCTGAGTCCTGTGCTAGTCATGGTGCCACGCCACCACGAGCACCCTGTGGTGGAACACTTTGTCTTGGCCCACCCAAGGTGCTGAGAGTGTAAATATTCGTGCAGTGCACCTCACAGGCAGACCCGGGTGCCTCTCCAGGTGTGCGTGGAGGCCTGTCGCCTCGGCCCCGAGTCCAGGGGGCTGGCCCACCCTCGCCTAATAGCAGCTCAGCTGTTTCTGCTTTCCTAAGTATTTTTTGGAGTTCTTTTCTTGAGACTTGTTCCACCAGCCTTGCCCATTCATTATAAAAATGTTATATGTCATGTTTGCCGGAGGACACCTGAAACAAAACACAAAAACCACGCTGCACGAGTGTGCCTACAGGAATTCCTGCTCTTTGCTGGCTGAGGGGTGAGGATTCCCCTTCCCTCTGCCTCTGGGAAGCTCCTCCCTCAGCTCCCTCCCAGCTGGGGCTCCCACAGCTTGGGCGGGTCCCTGTGGGATGTAGCCAAACTCTCCACCTCTTCTTCCGAGACCTCCAATAGGCCTGGGAAGAAAGGGCAAATCGGATGGGTGAGCCCCCACTGGATCAGTGAAATGGGTCACACTTGTTTCCAGCGCTTTCCGTCTTCTCTCTCTAACTCCCGCCCATTCAGGGCCCCCGTGGCTGTTCCAGAGAAGGACGCTGGCTGTGCGGGAGTGGTTGCTGGCTGCACGGATTGCCAGGCCCAGGAGCCGTGGCATTGTGAAGGACATCTTTAGGGAAAGCCGTGCCATGCTGGTGGGGAATTTAAACACCGCAGGCTCCGAGTGACAGAGTGGGCAGGACAGGGGATGGACACTTCACCTCTCATTCTGCACCACAGCCCCTCACACTGGGGCCAGCGGAGCACCCAACACAGTGTCAAGCAGGACTTGAGGGACCTGCAGGGAGCCACTCTCCCTGTGATCAGGAATGTGTGTCCCAAGGGGTGCAGAACAAGGCACATCACTTCAAGGTGCAGTTATTGCACATGCATAATCTTGTAAAAGCTTTGCTTTCCAGTGCCCGTGCGTGGCTAGACCCAGTGTGCCCGAGCCCTCTCATCCAGGGGGAGAATCAAAGTATTTCACAACTGATACAAACAGGCACTGACCAGTCCCAGTGGCCACTGCTGCACCAGGCATTAGCCCTCATTTGCAGGATCATGGAGAAGACTGGGCAGTCCGTGGAAGGTTCTGGGGAGGGGAGCTCACCAACACGCTGAAACCAGTGCTGCTGTTCCAGTAGGCTGCTGCTATCTCCTCCCCGGCCTTACCCTTCCCACCCTCTTGCTGCACGTGTTCCTTTCTACTTTCTGATCTGTCAGCCAGAGCTGCACCAGCTCCTCTTTCAGGGGCCCTCCTGCAGGCACAGGTGTGGCCAAACCTATGTGGCCTTTGGGAGCCAGCGTGGCCCAAGTCAGGGATCCCAAAACCTGGCTGTACGCCGGAGCCTCCAAGGAAATGCCTAAAAACCTACAGCAGGGTTATCTGTACTCTCACAAAGCCTGCGAGCAGATGCCGATGAATCACCAGGCTAAGAGCCCCAGCCTCCTCCTAAATCCAGGCTGAGCGGGAGCTGTGGGCGACGCTGGCACCAACACCCCTGAGTTCTTGGAAGGAAGGTGCGAACTGAGAGCCACTCACAACGCCTGTTTCTTCCTGGTGTACATGGTCACCATGAGCAGCAACACCACTGTGGTCACTAGGATTCCCGCCACTGCAACAACAGCAACGACGATGTTCCTCTGGAGGAAGTGCAGCAGCTCCCTGCAGGGCATGGTCCTGCTCTGAGTATCTAAATGAGAAGACACATGCAGAGTAAGCAGAGAGTCCACCCCATACGGACCTGCAGGGACAACACCTTGGCTCCAAAAACCTCAAAACCTCAGGGGGAAGGAACTGGCTTTGTTTAGGGAAATGCCTTTGTAAGCTCGTTGGTGAAGGAGGCAAGATACTCAGGGTGTGAGCTGAGAAGCAGCAAAGCAACCAAAGAGAAGGTCCCACAGCCACAGTTTATAGGAAGTGAGGAGAAGAGAGGAGAGCTCAGCGGAGGGAAGAGGCGGCAGCGCCGGAGGAGGCGACAAAGTCCTGCTGCCATGCTTTTAAGAACAATGGAGTCAGACACTCTCAGCTTTTCCCAGGGCAGTAGCGCAACCTCTCTCTGCTGCCCTCCCACTCCTGCTCTCTCAGCTTCAGGAAATTCTAACATGTGCACAGTGCACCTCACATGTGCAGATTTGGGGGAGTTTTGTGACATAGGCAAATGCAATCCTGAGATGACCCACAGCTCTCTGGCAATCTGGGGACTTGCAGAAATCAAGAATGGCAAGTGTGAGCTTGGGAGTACAAGGCAATCTTAGCTAGACTTTAAAGAAGGAGACCCCTTGCTAGACATTGGAAACACCATTTGTAGTGTAACCAAAAAGGAGAAAGGATTCAGGGAAATAAGACACAGAGTGGTGCTGACAGGAGGTGCTGGCCAAGGGCCTTCGTGGCTTATGGAGGGAAAATTGGGCCTGCTCAGCTTCCTGCTTGCATCTGGACCACACCAGGATGCAGTAGCATCGGGGAACTGTAAGGGGTCTGTTGGAATGATTTAGCATTGGGCCTCTCAGAGTTAGGAAGGGACAACCAGTTATAGTTTCGTTAGCGGGTTGCTACATGGAGGGAGGCTACTGGTCTGGGTACTGGCTCGTTGTCTTGATGGGTAAGTTCCTACCCACACTGAATGGGCTCAGGCTCGGGCAGTCCAAAATTGGTGACAAGGAATTAGGTTCATATTTGGCACCTAGTCCTTCTCGTTTTTAGAAAATCTCAGTGCCCAGTCCTGGAAGGGCTTCCAAGATGGTGCCCATATTGTGAGTGGCTCTGGCTGCCCCCCCAAAAAATGTAAAGGGAGCATTTTTTTGAAAGGGGGCTCAAATTCCTGGGACTACTTTTATTCATAATTTTAACTGCAGGTTGTATTCTTTTGTGGGTGATTTTTTAAAAGATTTTGTTTATTCATTTTTAGAGAGAGGGGGAAGAGAAGGAGAGAAAAATCAATGTGCGGCTGCCTCAGTTGCCTCTCCTGCACCCCCTACTGGGGACCTGGTCTGCAACCCAGGCTTGTACCCCGACTGGGAATTGAACTGGCGACCCTTTGGTTTGCAGCCCGCACTCAATCTAATGAGCTATGCCAGCCAGGGCTTTTGTGGGTGATTTAAAGGTGTGTTGACATCTAGTCTTTTAAATGCCACAAAAGGCAAACAGACAGGTTCACGTTGTGTAGATTATTACCTGGCTTGACTGCTTCTTTAAATGCTTTTTTACCTACAGAGGTTAACTGCTTGCTTGCAATTCTGTTGAGCACAGGGGGCTCCTTATTTCTCCTCTGCTCTGACATGTGACCTGCAAGAGACAAAAGGCAAAATGTGTTCATCTGAAAACAACCACTGGTCCGTGATTAGTGCTGTTTTTAGGATGCAAGTAACTTTCCTCTCAAGTCAAAGTGAAGAGTTAGGGAGGATTTTGGGGAAGAGTCCCAAAGCACATCAAAGTTTTGTTTTTTTGTTTATTTTTTAATCTGGCAAACTCCTGGTGACCCCCACGTAGACTGAGGCGGTGGTTTGCACACTCAAGTGTCTGTCAGAACCACCAGGAGGCCTTGTCAAAGCACAGATTGCTATTGTGTGTCAACTGTAATTGAAAAAATGTTTTTAATTTTCATAATTTTAAAAATATCTGCACAGATCACCGGGCCCCACCCCAGAGTGTCTGATTCAGTAGGTCTGGGAAGGCCTGAGGGCGCAGCACCGATGCCGCCAGCCGAGGGCCAAGCCTAGAGGAGCCTGGGGAGAGCCTTCCAGCCAGGCCCTGGGCTCGCTGGCCCAGCGCTCCACCAGCACGAAGCAGAGATAATGCAGCCTACCTCACAGGCGGCGTGATGTTCAGGAAAAACAATTTGTAAACCACAAAGTACTACAAAAAGTGTTTCTGGAGCTGCATACGCAGGACAGGAAGATGAACTAGACTGAAATACTCGTTTACTGCTAGAGAGACTGCAGAATGGATTAGGAGAAAGATACAGACTTGAAAATAAAAAATATTTGCATGCCAACTCTGCCAGTGGCCATCTTTGGCTCATTTGCATACAGGACCTGTCAGAGAGCCTGAGTGAGTTTAGTGTGGAGAAAACCACGCAGCTAGAAAGCTGTCTTTGCCTAATACAGAACTAGTCCTAGAAGGGGGCTGTGAGAATTTCTGAGACGTTCCAGGAGCAAACTAGAACCAATGGGTAGGAGCTCCAGCTGCATCTGTTCAGAACGCTTAGAGTCAGAAAGTAGGGCTGTCACAAGGAGAATGGGGGAGGGTGAAAAGTAATGAAGCCCTCCCCTGAGCACACTCCGGGCCGGGCTGGAGCCCCCAGTCCTGGATGGGAGAGCTCTGCGTGCCTGGTGCCCGAGTGAGACAAGTTGGTTAAGATTGTTGTGGAGTCGGGGGTGGTGATAACAGCCCCGTGAGATCTTAGTTATTTCTCTGGAAAGAGAGAAATTTGTTCCTTATTCAACTTGGCCTGGAAAAAAAACCTTCCAGCACAATATGACTCACTTTGAAATGCCAGCTTGTCAAGTCAAAGTTGAGAGGTTCACCACCAGACAGAAAACTCTGGATAGCATGAAGTTAGTGCACAAGAGGGCTGGGTTTGCCTTACTTGTTCATGGAGCTGTAAAAAAGGTAGACTTATAACTTGAACACAAAGTGTTACTTTCCTCATCTCTGCACAACCAAAACGTAAGACACTGTCCATACTTATCATCTCTAAGGTCATACGTTTCCATTTACCTATGGACCTTTAGAGAGTTCGAAGGATGTTTTCCAGGTGTGACGGGTTGTGATTTTGATGATTTGTGGAATTATTTTTGTGTGAAAAAAATAAGCATTATTATCAAGTTTTGCCAAATGCAGTCAATTTCCAAACTTCATTTCAACTTCAGAAAACCACTGACAGGGACAGCAGCAGCCCCTGTCATGAGCAAGCACTACCGAGGTCCTGGGGTTTGGAGGATTTAGACCAAGTTCATCTAAAATCCCCAGTCACGTCCTGGGCCAGGCACCTTTATCGCAAATGAGCCCAGAACCAAGAAATGTTGGCTTTGTGTCCAAGGAAAAGTTGAAGTCTTACATCTTCGTGACTTCTCTGTGTTCTATTAAATAGGCTTAGGAGACGCTGACAATGGAACGAGCCTTCGATTCTTTGTGAACAGCAGCTCATTGGTCCCTGTTGACCGAGGCCGAGCATCCCTTCACAGACCCGGGCTTGCTGTTCACAGAACATTCCACTTCTCAGGAGGGTAATTCCTTCACTGCTCTTCATATCCAGCCCTTTTAGTCTTTTTTTTAATGCTCACTGTTGTTAGGGAAGGGGTACAGCCTGTCCTTAAAACGGACACATCATGTGAACATAGCTGGTGTCTCCTGCAGGCATCCCAAGTTCACACACTAGCGTCTTGACCTGAGAGAAGTCACTCAACCTCGGTGCCCCTCGTGGGACATGGGAGCATAATCGTAAATGCTGCAACACAGGACTGCTGTGGGGAACAAAACTGTGCAGTTGAAAAACTCCTCTGTCTGGCACAGGGTAAGTGCTCAGTATATTTTAATTTTATCCTTATAATAACCATTATTATCACTACACAGAATGTACCATCCATTCATCCACGTTCACTCCTTCAGCAAATATTACTGAGCACCTACTGCCTGTCACACCCCGACTCCTCAGCCCTGGGACACCGGGCGTAGTGAGTGCACAGGTACTGTCATGAGGTGTCTTACGGTCATTTCAGCACAGAGACGAGGAGAACGAGTACCAGGCAGATGAAAGGTAGAAATAGCCCCAAATACAACAAGGAACTGACTAGAAAATAATGTTTACAAAAAAAGATGAAGGTTCTAAATTAATTATGATGTTTAAAAAAACAAAACAAATATTTTTGTCCTGGTTCTTTCTGCCGGAAACCATATGAGCTAATCTCCAAGGAGTGCTGATGTAGACAAGTGACTCAGGGAAAATGCAAAACTGTGCAGAACCCTGGAATCAACTCTAGCTATTCTTGCTGGGTACCATTTATTGGATATTTATTGTCACTCTAAAATACCTTGTCTTGAGCAAGGAACTCTATCAAAATCACCTCTGAAAAGTTGTGATTTCACTAGATATCCTGTACTGGAAACATTACAGACCCACCACAGATATTTTGCTCCAAATCTCATCATATTTTATGTCAGAATTTTTCTCCTTGCTCCCATTGTCATTCTCCTCGCCTCTGAGACCATCCCCAGGCTGTCCCTCTCTGGGAACAAACCTCTGTCCTATTTCTGTGAGTAACACATCATTTTCTTCCATGTGGACTCATTGCCTTTCCTAAGAAGCTACTCGCAGGGAGAGCCCTGCCTTTGCGACAGAAAAACTTAGACTAAATCCTGACTTTGTCATTTACCAAAATGAGACCTTGGGCAATTAACTCCACTTCTTGACCTCCAGATACCCATGGATAGAATGGGAACACGATTATTTCACTCAGAACTTTTGTGAAAATTGAATGAAGCAATGTGCAGGAAGCCTCTTAGGACAGAGCCAGGGTTCCGATATGCTCAAGGCTAAGGGTGTGGAGACTGCCACTCCCCACCTGATCTGTGACTGTGGCCCCCAGAGCAGCTAGTGGTGTCGCTTCTTTCCTGCTCTTCAGACCTGACACAAGTGCATTAATACATGGGTGGGGAAGAAAAAAGACAAACCACAAAGGAAACTAAGATGGAATTAGCATGTGAAAACGGGAATATCTGCTATACACTCTGTGGCATTCCATCCAGCCGTGCTTGCCTCCTCCCATGCCTGCTGCTGCTCAGAGCCTCGGGGGCCAGTCCTTGGAGATGAATCCTTTCTAGCCCACCCCACAGCCCAGGTAACCAGGGCAGGGATATATGGCTGCAAAGGGGCTCTGAAGACTCTGCTGACCCTTGAAGAATCTTGCCCCTCCAGGTGGAAGAGAAAGTCGTGCTGGGGATGCACTGCCTCAGTCCACTTACCTCCTGCCTTGAAAGTGGATGTGATGTCTGGAGCTGCAGAAGCCATCTTATGAGCAAGAGACATAAGCACCAGGGAAGGCCCTGATGAACTCAGAGAAGCACGCTCTGGCCTGAAGTCACTGCACATTGCACCAAAACACAAGTGGCCTCCCTCAGGCTACTTGTGACAGAAGGAAAATAAACCACTCTCTGTTTAAGCCACTAACCTCAGGCCTTCTGGTAATTGCAGCCTAGTGCATTATTATTTTCTTTGTAATTTTTTAAAAAGTAGTTTTAGAGGAAAAGAGGGGAGAGAGAGAGAGAGAGAGAAAGAGAGAGAGAGAGAAAGACATTGACTTGTTGTTCCATTTATTTATACATTCATTGGTTGATACTTGTATGTCCCTGGACCGGGAATCAAACCTGCAATCATTTTTTTTTCAATGTCTAAAAAGTGGGTTTCCAAGGAAGCACACACAAAGGCACATCATAATTACATTACCCAAGATTGAAGATAAGGAAAGAAACTTAAAAGCAGTAAGAGAAAAGGAGACAGTTACCTACAAAGGAGTGCCCCTAAGGCTATCAGCTGATTTCTCAAAAGAAACTTTGCAGGTAAGAAGGGGCTGGAAAGAAGTATTCCAAGTCATGAAAGGCAAGGACCTCCATCCAAGATGACTATAACCAGCAAAGCTTTCATTTAGAATGGAAGGGCAGATAGAGTGCCTCCCAGATAAGGTAAAGTTCAAGGAGTTCATCGTCACCAATCCCTTATTATATGAAATGTCAAAGGGACTTATCTAAGAAAAAGAAGATAAAAAACTATGAACAGTAGCCCTGGCTGGTGTAGCTCAGTAGATTGAGCACCGGCCTGGGAACCAAAGGGTCGCCTTTTTGATTCCCAATCAGGGAACATGCCTGGGTTGCTGGCCAGGTCCCCAGTTGGGGGCACGTGAGGGGCAACCACACACTGATATTTCTCTTCCTCTCTTTCTCTCTCCCTTCCCCTCTCTCTAAAAAATAAATAAATAAAATATTTTTTAAAAAATGACAACAAACTCAAAACTATCAACAACTGAACCTAAAAAAACAAAAACTAAGCAAACAATACAACAGCAACAGAATCACAGAAATGGAGATCACATTCAGGGTTAGCAGTGGGGAGAAAGTGGGGGGAGAATGGGGGAAAAGGTACAGGGAATAAGAAGCATAAATGGTAGATGCAAAATAGACAGGGAGAGGTTAAGAACAGTATAGAAAATGGAGAAGCCAAAGAACTTATATGTATGACCCACAGACATGAACTAAGTGGGGGTGTAAGAGGGTGCGGCCAGGGAGGCCCCCAAAGAAGAATTTGTAATGGGGTACAGAACTCAAGGTGTCCAGGAAATATTAAAAATATGGGATAACCTTGCCCTCACAAGTCTGAACTGGGGGATGGGACACAGTGCAGGGCCACTGAGAGCTGTTTTGCATAGCAACAGTTTTGCAAATAACCTCTAGAACAGTCATTTAACATATCTATAACTTTTGCCCCATTTCATGGATATGTTAAATAGCTGTGGCAATGCTTCGAGCCAGGGTGATGCTTCCACCCAGGATGTAACTAGGAGGCAACTCCCTTTGGTTAGAGCCTGCCTAAGAGCTTGGAGATGATTGGCTCTACGCCATGGGGCCACACCTGCCTGAACTTACTATGGCAGCCCAGAAAAGCTGGAAAAAATACAGGAATGCTGGCAGGTGTAGCCAATTGTGGGAGAAGTCAGAAATGGGGTTGCGGAGGAAGATTGTCACTGCGATTTAAACCCAGGAGCAGCAGCTGTGACAAGGAGAACCATGTGGCTTTGGGTCTCCCTTTGTCATGCAGCTTAGAAGCCAGAAAGCAAGATGTAGCAGCGATGCAGAGCTCTCTTAGTTTGAAAGAATGCAGGAGAGACACTGTGGCATGGAAAGGGGTGAAAGGACACTTGCTGGTGGGACATGAGAAAGTGCATTGTGGTTTTGGATTAAGAACTGGAGATCCCAGTGACAAAGCTGATGGTGCTGGGAACCAAGGGAGGCCTGCCAGCCGAGCACGGATTGATTACTGGGAAGAACCGGGGGACTACCTGAGCCACAGACTTCTATTTCTTTTCCTGAGGTATGGTACCCCGGAATGGGGTACCAGGCAGTTGGGGGAAGGAAGGACTGTGTGTGTTTGTGGCTGTTTTAAGGGACTTCGGGATTATAATGAAGACATTAAGTCATTACTCTTAAGTCTGTATAACTTTTGAATAAATAATTCCTTTTCTTTTCACCAATCTCTGACACGGAGAGCTATAATTCCCTGGCAGTGGGCAAGGCAAACCTAGTACAGGGGGAACCCAGGAAAAGGGGGGGTCCATTTGGTAACATTGTGCAACCCCTTCTCTGGTGGCCAATCAAGGAAAACCATGGGAGACCAAATGGGCAGTAGCTTTAAAGTAATACAACTACTTACACATGTGCCGTAAAAGCCCGCCAAAACTAGCCAGGAAGAATCTGCCCTATAAGAATAGAGTCCCTCCAGCCCATGAGGTCAATGTCTGATTGACCTGGGAGTTGGCCTGCTCCCATGTTCTCTGCTATAAACTGTGTGTGTTCAGTTCAATTCTTTGTCCCAACCACCAAGAACCTGTTTACCTGTGCCCACCTGTGATGGGGGCAGAAATGCAGTTGGGAAGGGGAGTGTAGGGAGGAAAGGAATAAAAGAGGGAAAATGGGACAACTGTAATAGTATAATCAATTAAATATTTTTTTAAAAACTGGGTTTCTTCAAAGAGAATCTGACAAGTTATCATAAAAAGTGTTTCCTGAGACAATAAGGAAATGAAACAATATTTTTCTTGAACCCTTTCAGTTCAAGACTTTCTTTTTTTAAAAAATTTTATTGTATTTTTTTCCATTTTATCTGACAAAAAATTGATTTCATTCAGATTACTGTTTTTATTTTTTCATTTATTTATTTTTTTAAATTTTATTTATTGATTATTGATTATGCCATTACAGTTGTTCTATTCCCTCCCCTTCATTCCCCTCCATTCTACCTCCCCGTCCCCATTACTCCCCTTTAGTTTATGACCATGTGTCTCAAGTTCTTTAGATTCTATATTTCCCATACTATTCTTGCCCCCCATCTATTTTCTATCTACTGTCTATGCTACTTATTTTCTGTACCTTCTCCCCCCTTCTCCTCCTCCCACTCCCCTGTTGCTAACCCTCCTTGAGATCTTCATTTCTATGTTTTCACTCCTGATCTAGCTGTCCTTTTAGTTTGCTTTCGTTTTAGGTGTGGTTGTTAATAACTGTGAGTTTGCTGTCCTTTCACTGTTCATGTTTTTTAACTTCTTTTTCTTAGATAAGTCCCTTTAACATTTCATATAATAAGGGCTTGGTGATGATGAACTCCTTGAATTTGATCTTATCTGAGAAGCACTTTATCTGTCCTTCCATTTTAAATGAAAGTTTTGCTGGATAGAGCAATCTTGGTTGTAGGTCTTTGGATTTCATGACTTGGAATACCTCTTTCCAGCCCCTTCTTGCCTGTAAGGTCTCTTTTGAGAAATCTGCTGACAGTCTGATGGGGACTCCTTTGTAGGTGACTGTCCCCTTAGCTCTTGCTGCTTCTAGAATTCTCTCCTTCATTTTAATCTTGGCTAATGTAATGATGATGTGCCTTGGTGTGTTTCTTCTTGGGTCCAACTTCTTTGGGACTCTCTGAGCTTCCTGGATTTCCTGGAAGTCTATTTCCTTTGCCAGATTGGGGAAATTCTCCTTTATTATTTGTTCAAATAAGTTTTCCACTGGTGGCTGTTTCTTTCCCCCTTCTGGTACCCCTATAATTCGGATGTTGGGGTGTTTAAAGATGTCCTGGAGGTTCCTAAGACTCTCCTCATTTTTTTGAATTCTCGCTTCTTCACTCTTTTCTGTTTGGCCATTATTTGCTTTCTTCTGGTCCACTCCATTGATTTGAGTCCCAGTTTCCTTTTCATTGCTATTGGTTTCCTGTGCAATTCCATTCATTTCAATTAGTTTCACCTTCATATGTTTGTCTAATTTGTGACTAAAATCAACCAGTTCTGTGAGCATCCTGATCACCAGTGTTTTAAACTGTGGGTCTGAGAGTTTTGCTATTTCTTCATTGCTTAGATTTATAGGCTCTGGGGCTTTGAGATCTTCTTGAGCCATTTTTGGTCTGTTTGTGCCCTTTAAGTGTGAGGAGCGGAGCCTATTGTGTTTTTTTACATTATCTTTTAGTCCCCTTATAGCCACCTTCCCCCCAAATCATCACACTATTGTCCATGAGTCCTTTGTCCTTTTTCCTCAGTTCCTCCACCCACTAACCCCCTCCACAATAGCTGTCATCCTGCTCTCTGTCTATGAGTCTGTCCCCATTTTCCTTGTTCAGTTTGTTTATTAGATTCCACATATGAGTGAAATCATTTGGTATTTGTCTTTCTCTGACTGGCTTTTTTCACTTAGCATAATGTTCTCCAGGTCCATCCATACTGTGGCAAAGAGTAAAATTTTCTGCTCCATTGTGTAAATATCCCATAATTGATTTTATCCAATTGCGTACTGGTGGACACTTGGACTGTTTCCATATCTTGGAATAATACCGCAATGAACATAGGGATACTTAAGTTCTTTTGAATAAACGTTTTGGGTTCCTTTGGATATATTCCCAGAAGTGGGATCACTGAGTAAATACTCAGTTCTATTTTTAATTTTTTGAGGTATCTTCATACTGTTTTCCACAGTGGCAGCACACCTCTGCACTCCCACCAACAGTGCAAAGGGTCCCCCTTTCTCCATATCCCCCTCACCAGCACTTGTTGTTTGTTCATTTACTGGTGACAGCCATTCTGATGGGTGTGAGATTGTATCTCATTGTGCTTTTAATTTGCATTTATCTGATGACTAGTGACATTGAGCATCTTTTCATATGTCTATTGGCCATCTGTCCTCTTTGGAGAAGTATCTATTCAGGTCCTTTGTCCATTTTTTTAAATTTTTTATTTATTTATCTTTAGAAGGGAAGGGAAGGAG